TGATCAGTACTGCTTTATGTTGTAGACTTTGTTGGAGATGAAAGAGTCAAGGAGAGTAAAGAAACTAACAACATTTGAAATACTCCGTTTTGAAATTGTTGACTTTATAGATGGCCTTGTGAGGTGAGCATTGTTTTTTTTCTAAGGAGCTTGTGAAATCCATTTTGCCTAACCCTAACCTTTTCAAGGGGGGGGGGGTTGTGGAATTGAAATTTGGGTCTGAAAATAAATTGGTAAGGACTGTTATTTGCCTATGTCTGTACTACAAACTAATTACAAAGCATGAGTAATATAGAAATTATTGCACAATTTTACATAATAAATTTACTGGTAGGAAAAAGCTGTTTGAATATAATGGATTCTAGTTTATAAGATGGAGAATAAACCTTATCTCCTCCCTTTTCTCATTTCTCTCCTATAAACTTTTTTTGGTTGTTTTAATTGGGTTGAGCTTTTTTGTTAGATTCTGACTTCAGTACGTCAGAACACCAAAATTTGGAGAGGGTTTGGGGGCTGCAGTCTGTCCAATTTGCCAAAAATATTTGAGACTAAGTTATAGGATGTCTACCATCAGCTAAGTCTACACAGTTGCTGAGTTCACTTCTGGCCCCACACAGGCGGGTGTTGTTGTTGTTTTTAGGATAAGAGTTACCCTTTAAATTTAAGTTGCACGAACATGATTACAGTCCAAATAAAACAACTATGACAAATGAGCAGGACCAAAGCAACCAATAAATTTGATTTTAATTTCATTAATCTTTAATTTAATTTACCATTAATCATATGCAGTTAGATGACTTCTCCTTCTGTATATAATAATTTTCCACTTTGTCATACTCAACTTTATAATTTGATGGTAAATTTTTGATTTCAGAAGTTGCAAACAAACTCTTTGCTGCATATTTTGCTTTGTTGTTAAACAGATATTACTTTGATGATAATATAGTCAGCCTTTTCAGTGGTGGGTTTGCATTTGTGGAATTTCCTCAGTGCTTTGGAGACATGGCTATATATATTTTTTTAATGAGAACCATTGTTCTTGGGAATATTATAATAGTAGTATTAATGAAATACTTCAGTTCCTATTTAATTCTGAAAGTGATTTTAAGGTGGCCTTAAAACTGTACTGTGCCTTGTATAAACTATCTAAAGACATTATTTCAGCAAAATGGAAAGCCATTTTAATTTTTTTTCATTAAATAAGGAATTATTACCAATGCTAGAAGTTAAAAAAAAGTGGGTTGTAGTTCTTAAACTATGGCGGAACAGTTTTAAGTGTGACTTATTTCCAGTCTATGTTTGATTTATGCACAGTCTTCTAGGATAAGTTTATATCTTTAATAAGAATATTGTAATTTGAGAAAAAGAAAACACTGAAAGAACTGAACAAAAAGAACACAAACCTTTTAACACTTAAAGAGGAAATATGTGGAGTTGATTAATATATTGCAGGATTTTGCCCAAAAAAGCTCATTATTCTGATTTTAGAGTGAAACCAATTTTTAAATATCTGATCCAAATGAGTAAATAGAATTAAAATCTGAACAGAGTATAGTGGAAAATACTACATGTAGACGTTGGTATTACTAAATTTTATCAATGACACTAGAATGTTTGTTTTAATCAAAATTGTCAGCAGTATGTAGAAAATTCGATGTCACCATCTTTTTAAAAAGAGGTAGACTATATTACCTTAGCAGTTACCTTAGCAATATTACCTTAGCAACTTAGCAGTTTGAAAGCATGTAAAAATGCAAGTAGAAAAATAGGAACCATCTTTGGTGGGAAGGTAACAGCGTTCTGTGTGCCTAGGGGGGTTTAGTCATTCTGGCCACATGACCACGGAGACGTCTTCAGACAGCGCTGGCTCTTCGGCTTTGAAATGGAGATGAGCACCACCCCATAGAGTGGGAACAACTAGCACATATGTGCAAGGGAAACCTTTACCTTTAATATTTTCTGGGAAGTCTACAATTAAAAAACCTTTTAAAACTTAAAAGCTAAAAGTGGTACATGATGCCAAAGTGCAATACAATACATACACATTGCTCATTTTCTGAGAATAGAATTAGGAGCTGAATTCAATAAACATCCTTCTCTTACCATTTTGTGTGTTATTTAGGAATTACCTTGCACCCGCAGAGATGCAAACACTACATGAGGTGATGTATTTCAGTGCAGCTAATACCCTCCAAGAGCATTTAAATGCCACCCCACGTGCTGCTCTTCACACTGCTCTCAACAATCCATACTTTTATCTGAAGGTAGGAAATAAGAACAAGGCAACAATCTTGTAGCCTCATTTCTCATCACATCCAAACTATTGAAAGTGTCATTCCTTGAAGGATTTGTCCATTTCTCATGCCACTGTATTTTCTACATGACTAGTTGAAGCTGTAAGAGCTTGGCAACATACTATTTCCTTGTCTTCGCTTATCAAGGATTCTAACATTTTTTTCTGAAATAACATGAATGTGACCCTAAGCGAAATCTACAGCAAAAATTACATTTTAAGTATAAAAATAAATAAATACACTTCTCGGAACTACAGTAGCATTACTATTGTAGGAACATTCTAAATCATTTTTAAAAATGTTGATGAAATATTTCTCCATATAATTTTATCATTGGGAAATTATGATAAAATAGTATAAAGATGTCTATTGGAGGGAGGTCAGCTGCTGACCCCAGCTGATCCCTATGAAAGCTAAGCGAGTCTGCTCCTGATAGTACTTGAATGAAAGACCATCAGAAAAATTCCTAGACTGGAGCCAAACTAAGAAAGAACAATCCAGAAGAAGCCACAGGCAATCTACTCTTTTATAGCTACCAACCAAACTAGAGGGATGTGACAGAGTAGTTACAGCCACACTGATGCCAATATGTGTTTACTAGTACATAGATGGCAACACATTTAGATATTGCTATAAAGTACTACAGAAATGTCCAAGATTTTGTACTGAAATAACACTTTATAGCAAGTGTTAAAAATCATGATAACTGCCCTATTGTTGCTTGTAGCTATAAAAAATAACTAAAACAGGATAGTAATGGTAATTACAGCTCCTGGAGAGCATTGCTGGACCACTGTCAGAGAGCTCAGTCCAAGAAACTCTTACTTTGCAATCCTAGGGGCATCCCAGACAGTAGGAAATAGACACATACAGGAAGTTTAGCTTGGCTTTCTTTATCAGAGATAGTTGCCTTCTCTATTAAAAAGTAGTATTGTTTTCTGGCATCTATTCCAATGAATCAGAGATGAGAAAATTGGTCTTGTAAAATGGAATAGATTAGTACCGGGATGGCGAACCTATGGCACGTGTGCCACAGGTGGCACGCGGAGCCATTTGTCAGGGCACACAAGGCGTTGCCCTGTCAGCTTGCCAGTGCGCATGCGTGCACTGGCCAGCTGAGTTCAGCCTTTTTTAAAGCCATTTTTCGCCCTCCCCAGGCTCCAGAGGCTTTATAGGAGCCTATGGAGGGTGAAAACAAGCCTCCCTCCCACCCCCACCCGGAGGCCCTCCGGAGGCTTCAGGAGCTTCCCTGAAGCATCCGGAACGCAAAAAATGGCCCTATGGGCAAACCGGAAGTTCAGGAATGGACCTCTGGTTTGCTCGTAAGGTCGCTTTTAGTCCTCCGGAGGCTTCATGGACCTTCAGGAGGCTTCCCTCCTGAAGGAGGGCAGGGAAGGATGTTTTCGCCCTCCCCAGGCTCCTATAAAGCTTCTGGAGCCTGGGGAGCGCGAAAAGTGTGCAAAAAATGGGGGGAGCGCCTCTCATGCGCGCATGTGCACTGGATGTGTTGCGCATTGCATTATGGGTGTGGCACAGCCATGCATGACCCCCCCCCCTGCGCTTCCCCCCTTATGGCACACGAGCCAAAAAAGGTTTGCTATCGCTGGACTAATAAATAGCCCATAAATAGGAACAGTTCCATATCTTCACTTGCAACTGCCTGCCCTGCTGTAATTACATTGGGGGACGGGAGGTTGTCACTGTTTTTTAAGGCTCATTTAACACAGCTGTGTGCAAATTATGCCTCCATTATCACTGTGATGTTGAGAAACCGCCATGTGCATTATAGAACATTAGCTATATAACCAAGATGATGGTATAATTATCACACCAATGAGATACCTGGCACCTATTTTGGATTGTGAATTTTGTTTATCAGGATGACTCCTTGCAATGTGATGCAGAATCCCTTTCTGGTGCAGCTCCTGATATTTGTATAGCATACAAGCTGCATTTGGAGTGTGGCAGATTGATTAACCTGGTTGACTGGCTGGAGGTAGGTAAAATGATTCAATGTATACCTGCTATTCTGCTGGATTTTTTCAAAGCTGCTCATTCATGCTATTAGATACAGTATAAAACTCTACAGTGCCTTCAAATCAGTGGTGGGTTGCAGGCGGTACACTCCGGTACAGGTGTACTCCTGTGTACTGGAGCCTGCTCGGAGCACTGGGTACCGTTTGGGTATGATGCTCCGGAGGGCCTGCCCGAGCTCCTTACCTGTCCTTTAAAAGCCTTTGGAGCTTCTGCGCACGGCACATACAGTGCCTGCGTGACGCTCCACCAAGCAGCTGGAGCGTCGCAAAGGCTTGTGGAGGCGTTGCTGGCAGGTAGGATGTGCGCACGCCCATGTGGATGACACCAGGCCCGTTCCAACCATACCAGTTGGAACAGGATCTGAAACCCACCACTGCTTCAAATCAAATCTTTATTACAGTAATAGACTAGCATAAGGAGGACAGGGTACAGTTAATTAAAAAGCATTGAAGACACATCCTTCATGTTCTTCCAGGGTGTGTCAAAATCATAATTTGTGTAAATTCTTGCAGATGTTTTATACCAAGATTCAATAAATGAATGCACGTAACGAGGCTCATCTCCCCCCTGCTAAGCACCTTCCATTACAATTCCCATTTTTGGTGATATTTTCTTATTAAAGAGCAACTACACATCATTGGAGTTTGTTTTAAAGAGCAGGGAAACGCTCTTTCTAAACGGATTTTATTTTCTGGAAGAAAATAGCACAGAATGTGCCTTCTGTTTTGTTAAATTGGGACTTTGGGGAGAATGGAAACAGTAACAGCTCATTGCTCCCTCTAGCAAAATGGAAAACTCTCTTCATTTTTTGATCTGTGAGGCTCAGCTAGTGCCACCTTGGTTAAAGAAACCAAGGCCATGAAATTTTTCCTGGATTTTTGCAGAATATGCCAGCGATAATTTGTTGCTCCTTTTTGAAAAAAATTGGGGGGGGGGGGAGATGGAGAGAGAAATAAAACATTTTTTTTCTTTTGCAAGCAATTGTGGTGTTTTTTATATTTTAACTCGTCCATAGGAAGTTTATTTTCTGCCTGTAAATTTGGGCAAGTAATTTCTGGAGTTTCTCACAACATAGAAATGGGAAAAAAATCAATTAATTTCTCTTCAGTTGTGGTAAGAAGATAATAGCTTTTACTTCTTCACATATAGCTCCTGATTTTGGCATAAGCACAATATTTTGCAAAAATGTTCTATCTATGGAGAAAAAAATTAGAGACTAAGTTTTTGTTAGATATCTGGAGTAGCCTCATGCTACATTCCTTTAGCAAATAGCAAAAATAAAAAGTATCCAAGTTTGGAACTAGATGGGTAAGAACTGAGACAAATAATAAATGTGGATAATAAAGCCAACCTTTTACCTCTGCTTAGGACTCTCATTTGCTTTTGTTTTATCTTTATGGCTACCCACTTAAATTAGGATGGAATCTATTTTGCGACTTGTGATATTTGTTCTGGAATTTAAGAGAAATATTTGAGAAACTTGTTAGGCAATAAATTATATTAGTTTGGAAAAAAAACCACATTAAAATATATACAAGTATTATATCTGTTTACTTGTTGGTCTTTGATGCCCTGCCTCTAACAATGAGTGTAATATGTAAGCTAAGATGTGAACTTTGTACAACTTTTTTGAATTCTTTTATGACATGTTATTTCTCTAGGCTTTTTCAACAGTTGTAACTGCAGTTGGAAATACGGATTCCACAATCAAAAACCAGACAGATGACATTATCCAGTATCCTTTTTTTATATTCTTCTAAGAAATCTACCTGAAAACCACAGTATTTATTTTTGAAAATTATCTTTAGATTGTAAATAAAAAGAACGAAGTAAAACATTTTAGAGATTGTACCAAGTTAAGGATTGGTTAAGGTTTGAAATGATGAAACAAAATTCAAAATAACCTTGACTGATTTGAACTGTATGCCAAATCTAGAAGGATAATGTTCACTCTGACAAGTATAAGGCTATGTACCTGGGTTGGATTAGGGAAACCTGGGCAGCAGTATGAAGACCAACAGCTACCAGGCCACTAGTTGAACACAAGTGAAGTATGTAATGCAACAATTAAAGGAAACCCAATAGAATGAGCTTTATTATTCTCTTCAGATCACAGAAAATACTTGTATTATACTTGCACTGGTTAAATTGCATTTGAATTATTGCATCTATTTTTGGACACTGACGAAGGGAGTGGGTTCAGAAGGCCTCTCTCTGGAAGATTAAGGGGTCTAAAAGAGCCCTATGGAAAGCAGCCGCTGGACATCTTGTGCAGGGAAGAAAACTCAGTAGTTGGAATGCAGCCTTGCTGTCAAGAGCTGTTTAGTGATGCAGCAGCCCGAGAATAGCTCTAAACTCTCAAGGTTTTCAAATAGGTGCTGGATGATATAATTTAGTGGCTTCCTGCAGTGAGCATAGGATGTTTGACTAAACCACCTGTATCTCTTCGCTCATACACATCAATTCTGTTTTACAGAAATCTTTAATCATAATTTCTATATATGTAACAGAGCTCACCCTGTCTTTCTGATTTAGGTGTATCTTCTTATGCTATTATTTCAGCATTTCATTCAAATAAGTGCTGCTACTTCAAATTAGTTTACTATAGTAGCATGCAAGATCTACTGAGGAATCTGGAATGTAACAGGTTAATGAGGAAATAAATGAAAATAACTTTCTGGGAACTTTAGGGCAGATTATTCAGGATGCTAAGCAGTAGATGCAAGCAGGAAAAAGGGGCTTGGCCACAGTGTAAATAACTTACTCTACTTAACCTACTCTTGAAGATGAATTCCAGAGATATCGAAATCTGCTCTATTAGTTGAAGATATATTATTTGGTAGATTGAGCATACATTTAATATTGTAAGGCTATTGCAAAGAACGGGGAGCAATCTATAAATGTGCTAAATTGTGTTGTAAACTATCTCAAATTTGTTATGTGTAGTAAATTATTAAATCTTGATTGATGGAGATGCCATTTCCTTGACTAGAACTCCCAAGTGCTCGGTTCATTAGAGCAGTATCAGAACTGGAATTTTTGGGATTCATAAAACCCACAAAACAGAAAACGGATCACGTGGCAAGACTGACATGGGGTAATTGTTAATAAGAAAGGATTCTGTAATAGCGAAAATAATATCCACTGTAATGGCATAAATAAAATATACAAAATGACTTCCTGGATTATCCATATACATTTCAACATGTAGCTGACCTTGGTTCACCTGTTTTATTCACTGTTTTCAATTTATTTGCTACCTTCCGTCTATCAAGGCAGCAATTTAGATCACTCATGCTTCAAAAATGCAGGCTTCCTTTTAGTTGACAGCTGGGTTGCAAGCACTTCAAAAGCGCACACTTCCAGACTTGGAAGAAAGGCACTAGAAAAAATTGCTCATTTAAATCAGTTTAACCTTCAATGAGTAGATTCCTTAATGCCACGGTGCCTTCTTTTTTCATCAATCTTGTAGGAAAAAAAATCAGAGTGCTGCTTTATATATCACATTTTCCATACTTCTTGCCACATTTTTTTAGTTAAATTAGAATGTTTCATTCATAATAGAACTGCAACTTTAGAATCAATTTTTTGCTACTGTATCATTTACACATTCCACCTGTTCTCTGAACATTTTTGGCTTTCATGCAGGCTCCCAATTTTATCTCAACAATAATTCTATAGAAAGGATTGCAAGGGGATGAATTGGCCCAATGTAATATGGTAAGCTTCATGTAAATTGTGAGAATTTCAACTTAAGCCTTCCAGGTCCAATTTAGAATAGTAAGCACCACATAACACTACTATTGTTCTTCTTTGAACTATTTTCAGTTTTGTTAAAGACAAGCTGACATTCTCAAACTAATGATTTTGGAATGTGGGAGGGCCTCTCAATAAACCTATTATCCCAAATATAAATATGCAAACATATTTTTGCAAGAGACAGACATTGCAACTATTTGCAAGACGTGTAAAGCAAATTGCCAATAATGCACAAAGGCGGCTTTCTTCACCATCCCATAGGGAGGTTTCCACTTGCAAGACTACCAACTGTTCACGAACACTGCTGCTGGAGAAGAACAGACTTGGCATTTCAGCATGTAAACACTTTAATTAAGGTACTATATTCCAGTGAACCTCCATCTGTGCCCCTCATCCCCATATTAAATACATGTTTTTACATCACTTTCCAAAGAGCTCAGAGCAATTTTCTTATAGTTCAGACACCTTAGGGAATCAAAAGTACTTAATCTTAGCAGCAGTGAACTACACCATGTGCTGTAAGTCCGTTCTGTGGCAAGGTATGTCCGATTGCTTAATACTCTCGCCCCTTTAGTTTTTCAAAGGCTCAAAAGCCAACAATCCAGTGCAAATGTACAGTGGAAGTATATTAAAATCCATGAATCAAAATGGCAGTTTCTGTAATAGAAATCTTGTTAAAATTACATATGTGCCCAGAAGAATACGAACTACTTGCTTAGAATAAAGAATGTTTCAAAGCAGAGGTGTGAATAGATGGATATTTAAATACAAGATGCCTGCAGATTTCATGTAAAACATGAATGTTAACATGAGAATATAATTTGAATGCTTTTGTAGTGATTTCAGTAGCAGCAGCACTGTAAAAAGTCAATAAGAGTCATGTAAGAGTGAAAAATAGTTCAAAAGGCCTAGTCTAGTTTTCTTTATCCATATAAAAAGCAACTTCTTTACAATCTTGCAGCTGCAAGTAAGAAAATCTGGTAACTCCCTAGAAAAAGGCTCACACATTGAATTCAGTTACAGTAACAGAAGTAAAAACAAATTATCTGTTAAATAAGGTGTGAATGGGAACATGGTTCTTTTTAAACATGGGGAAAAAAGCCACTGAGATAAACACAGGCAATTTTCTCCAACCTCAAATTGCTTCCAAAGCAATGAAATTTTCAATACCTTCAATCTGAGATGAAGAAAGTTTCTAAAAACATAAAAAGTAGTTGCTCCTTAAGATATACTGCTTCAGAAAGCATCTTAGCTAACCTCACATTTCTGAGTGTCAAAAAATATTATTCAGACATATTATGTAAGGTATGCCTGTGAGGAGTAGAACATGAAGAGATTACAACTGCTTCACCCATAATTTCTGTCAGCCTCACTTGCAGGAAAGTGGCTGCCTACAGAAAAAACAAAACAAAAACCACCACTTCTTCAGTATCAGTGAAGGCTTTGCTAACAGTTTAGAAGCTTAATTGACTACAGGAGGTTCTCCAGTGAAGAATTCACTTTTCTAAATAGGAGGAATGAAGGTAGCATGCCCATACCCTCTTTGCTCATATAACTTATTACGTTAAAGGAATGCTTGATGAGGACCAAAATTACCTACAAAATCTCAAATTAGTCCTACACATGCCAGTCAACCTTAATAAAGCTTTCTAGAACATTCGTATCTATACCTTTCTTTTTGAACTATTAGCTAATAAATATTAAACATAGATTTATTTAGTACACTCACATCTATTTTATTTGAATGATGGCAAAAATGCCACTTATATAGGTAAAAACACAGGTTAGAAGTAAATGTTTTATTCTTTCAACTAAATTCCAGTACTACAAGGGCAGTAAAACAATGATACACTGAAAAATTGCAGCAATAAACATTTGTTAAAGACTGATAGAATAAATAAAACCTACAAAAATGAGAACTTATATAAACCCATTCTTAACCCCCCCAAAAAAGTCATGGAATACAAAAATGCCCTCCTTCACTATGTCACAGGCAGTACTGTGGGCTAATTGCTTAGACGTTGTCCAGGGATTACATTCTAATTTAACTGTGAATACAATTTTGCAGTGCACAGTTATGAAAACCACACTAACTTCAGTCAGAAGTGTCATTCTACACTTTTATTTACACAACCAGTTAAGGGCAGAGTTCTAATACACCAGCTTTAATCCTTTTACTTTTCAAACTTATTAACAGAAGCCAAATTGTAATGATACAGCAAATGAGACCACTGGTATTAACAGGTAGCAAAGGTCCACATCCAGGTGGTACTGACATCAGGGAGCACTCCAAAACCAGTTGCTGCATAAGAGTGGTTGCCACTGACAAAAGCTTGAAATAACCAGTGTATACAGAGGAGGGGGGGGGGAGGAGAGGGAATATGGCATTGTTGCAAGTCTTTAAAGGACAGCTTGCAACAACAGAACAGGGTTTCAGGGCTGCCCACGTATGCAGAAAACATGATTCATGAAACATCTGAAAAGGAAAAAAGAATCGAGTCAAGAAATAAGATAACCAAAGAATTTACACAACTAAAGCTCGGCAAAAAAAAAAAAAACAGTTAAAACTATATCCCTGTGAAGATCACTCCACTTTTGCGATGATTTCACTCTTATAAAGAAGAGTAGAGAAGTAGAGTTCTACTCTACCCCATTCTATCTACTTTGTCAAGCCACCAAAATCTAACATCAAGAAAAATAGCTTAAAATACTTACAACTTGCAGGCTGTTCTCCATATCGTCGCATGATCTGATCATGCGTAAACTTCACAAATGCGTCATACTGTTCTGTGATCAAGGAATATTTAAAGTAAGATACCATATATAAAAGTGCTTGTTTACAAGACAACACAAGGAAAATATCCTTTACTTTAAATACTGCATCCAGGGATGGAATTCAATGTTTGTCATAGGCAGATTAATATGCTAGCTGAAACATGAATCTTATTTTACTCCATGCGTCTTTAGATTTTGTTTTTGGGTTTCTGGTATAATCTGAAGAAATACAGAGTGAATATCACGGGGATGATGAATTTGTTTCCTTCATGAAAATAAACCATTGTCCCCCTGTTCTAGCCATATTGTATCAGCTCCTTCAGTATCACGATTGAACAATTAAGCATTTTCTCCAATCTAGGGCTGTATATTTTGGATGACCTCAAAGGGTCACAAGTGCTTAGGGCAGTGATGGCAAACCTTTTTGAAAGCCGTGCCAAAATTAATTGTGCCCACACCTGCAATTCAATTTGCCCCGCCCACCCGTGCATGGGCACATGATCCTCCCACATGGGGGGAGAGGACTTTTTGCCCTCCCCACGCTCCGGAGGCTTTCCTGAAGTGTGAGGAGGATGAAAAACGGGTCCAACTGGAAGGATGTTCAGAAATGATTTGTTTCCGGCTTCTGGAGGGCCTCCAGGGGAGGCTGTTTTCATCCTCCCCAGTCTTCAGGAAAGCCTCCAGAGCCTGGGGAGGGCAAAAAATGGATCCAACCAGAAGTTAGGAAACGAACTTCCGGGGGGCTGGGGGAGCTAGTTTTCGCACACCCACTTCAGGAAAGCTTCCAGAGCCTGGGAAGGGTGAAAAATGGACCCAACCAGAAGTTCGGGAATGAACTTTTGGTTGACCTGCTGGGCCCGTTTTTTGCCCACCCCAGGCTCTGGAGGCTTTCCTGAAGCCCGGGAAAGGTGAAAACGGCCTCCCCCGACCTTCCAGAAGACCGAAAATTGCAGAGCTGATGGCTTGCGTGCCGGCAAATATGGCTCCGTATGCCACAGATTTGCCATCATGGGCCTAGGGACATCATGCTGCAGTATTTTATTACATTTTGGTTAGCACTGAAAATTATTTTCTTAACTATACAGAAAAGGCTAATAATATGCTACCAAGATTTTACTAAAATATTTCTAGTTATCTTAAGGACAATTGCTTCAAGAAATTCATTCAAATATCATTTCCACTGCATATATGAAGATATATGCAAATATCTCAACTGCTGGATTAACAGTTATGCCTTTCCTTCATTTTCCACAAGAATAGTCATCCCTAAGGGTGCTCTATTGCAATTGAAACCTCGTCATATAGTTCACATTCTATATTAACAAAAACCTAGATTCTATCCTTATGTGACTAGTTTACAGGAGTTAAAACAGGTGATTGGAAACATTATTAATGAATGATACTCAAAATGTGAGGAAACTTGCAGCATATAGTAACTGTTGGTATCTTAATATTTAGTCAAATGCTTCTCAAAATGTGAGTTAACAGAGTGCTAATTGATACTTATAGTAATTTGTATGAAGTACATCATGTCGGTCTCGTAGTGGTGCAGGCAATACAATACAATAGCAGAGTTGGAAGGGGCCTTGGAGGTTCAACCCCCGGCCTAGGCAGGAAACCTTATACCATATCAGACAAATGGCTATCTATTATCTTCTTAAAGACTTCCAATGTTGGGGCATTCACAACTTCTGGAGGCAAGCTGTTCCACTGATTAATTGTTCTAACTGTCAGAAAATTTCTCCTCAGTTCTAAGTTGCTTCTCTCCTTGATTAGTTTCCACCCATTGCTTCTTGTTCTACCCTCAGGTGCCTTGGAGAATAGTTTGACTCCCTCTTCTTTGTGGCAACCCCTGAGATATTGGAACACTGCCATCATGTCTCCCCTTGTCCTTCTTTTAATTAAACATATCCAGTTCCTGCAACCGTTCTTCATATGTTTTAGTCTCCAGTCCTCTAATCATCTTTGTTGCTCTTCTCTGCACTCTTTCTAGAGTCTCCACATCTTTTCTACATCGTGGCGACCAAAACTGAATGCAGTATTCCAAGTGTGGCCTTACCAAGGCATTATAAAGTGGTATTAACACTTCACGTGATCTTGATTCTATCCCTCTGTTTATGTAGCCTAGAACTGTGTTGGCTTTTTTGGCAGCTGCTAAACACCGCTGTGTGCAGTGTGATAGTATCCCATCTTCCTCTCCATCCTCATCAACTGTAATTTGTCAAGCTAAGAAGTGAGCAATTTAGAAGCCACCAAATATTAGCTAAGAACATTCAGAATTCCTGAACATTAATCTTTATTGTGGTTAAAGATAGCTAAAAACATCTAAAAAACTAAATGATTTCAAAGTTAAGTGGTGTAAATTAACCATGCTGTTCCTACAAAGCAGAAAGATCATTATTTAAAACTATAAAGTACAGAAATCGCCATTCAGAAACATGCAGTCATATAACAAGCCAAGTAACAGGATGGAAAAAATAACAGCTGACATACATTTTGTTTTTTATCATACCTGCAAGTTTTGTGGTCAAGATTTCTTCATATTCTTCACGAATTTTCTCTTCACGTTCTTTGAGCAAACGTTCACAGATCATTCCAACTTGTCTGAGAGTAAAGAGGGGCTGTTCTTTTTTCAGTGGTGGTGACGCTGCAGATGAAGTACCTTTGAACAAATTATTTCCAGAGGTAGTAATTCAATTATGCTTTAGCGCATGGGTGTCAAACTTGCGTCGTTACGTGACATACAACTGTTTTTCTCTTTGCTAAAATCGGAGGGGGGGGGGGAGGCAGCACATAACGTATCCGGGGCCACAAGTCTGACACCCCTGCTTAGAGCATCTTCTAGAAGATTAATGCAGATAACAGTTCACTTTCTAAAGTACTTTGAAAATCAGATTATAACAATCATAGAGCTTAAATTCTAATGAAAATGGCTGCATTTATAGCCCACTGGTTTCAGTACATTTTAAGTACAAGCTTCTGAATTAAATGTTGGCTATGTATTAAAATCAGGAATTATAACTATAGAGCCAATTTAGTATAGTCAACAAGGCACCAGACTTGAAACTTGGAAACCATGAGTTCTAGTCCTGCCTTTGACAGGAAGCCAGTTGGATGACCTTGGGTCAGTCACTCTCAGGCTAGAAAGCAGGCAGTGGTAAACTACCTCCAAAAACCCTTGCTCAGAAAAACTGCAGGGATTAGTTGAAGCAGTCACGAGGAGTAAAAAACTAACTTAAAGGCTCACACCATCACACAAAGTTAGAACGATAGAAGTATATTGTTGTGACTAGGTATATAAATCAGATGTTTATTTACAAATGGCTAAAAGTGAATGTGACCCAGAATTATCATGAACTCCACTCCCCAATGCACTTCCTGAAGACAGGAGAGGGGAGACACATCTCACTAATTTTTCTTTCCCCTCACAGTCCTATTACTCCAGCTATATTAATTTTGTTAGATGTACATCCTGCCTTTTTTCTGGAAGCTTAAGAAGGCATACCATAGAGTAGAATGGTTTGAGCAAATGGCTAGCTCAAAGTCAGCTTTCATGGGCGAGGGTGAACTAGAACATGGATCTTCCCAATCTTAATCTAGCACTGAAACAAGCAGATTACATTGCTTCTCCTTGATTGAACCATGATTAGGCAGTCTCATAACAATGTTCCCAGGGAAGTGACAATGGATAGTTAAGAGCTTGAGAAATTAGCAAAATTATTTTTTTCTTCTTTCCAGTGAGGCTTAGCATTTTGAGAGTTCCTCTCAAAAAATGAAAGAAGATCCAATTCAATGCATTTCTGAACATAAAACATGGATGATTCCAAGTCAATTTATCATGCAAAATTAATTCAATAAAAGATGGGGAAAGGTTATAACTCAAATATTATAAACAGCTCATAATTTAAATACTACCTAAATGTTGTAAAATTTTGAAGTCATAAGTTGCACAACATTAAGATAGGAGCTGTGAAGACTAACGAGGAGCCTTCTCAGTGGGGCCCATGTCTATGCATTGCTCTGCCTTCAAAGGTGATGTCTCCAATCTCCAGGCCCTCAAGATCTTTTTATTGCATGTATATGGAAACTAATAATTCTTGGACTGAATCAGATTTCTTGGAGGTTTATATTGTTTTGTTTGTATTGTACACTACCTCAAGCCTGTAAATTGACATACTAGAAATAAAAGAAATGAAAAATATATAGTGTCTTTTCTTTCTCTTTATTGCACCAGCCTACCCCAACAGGTGTGTTCTTGAAGATTTCTAACCCAGAAAGGATGGCTCAAACTGCTGGAACACCAAAATCTGTTCTGCAAGCAGTATCTATTCAGCTGGATAAATGTCATTAAAATGTAAGTTAAACTCATTCTAGTAATAATAATCATTGTGATTATTTTGTGTTTAGAGAAAAACACAATCTGACCCAAATTCAAATGCATTCTTATTCTAAAATCTTCACCTGGCAAAGCTGGTCCAGAAAGGAGAAATGCTTGTGACTGTGCATCAGTAGAACAACAAGGATCTGTTTGGTGAAAGTTTTCTAAATGTCTTCTCTTCTGCATGCGTTTGTATTCCTGTTTTATATTGTACAGAATTTGCTCTAGAAAAAAGAAACATACTGAACATGATTATGAATTCCAACTCAGTCATTTCAAACAATTTAAATTGAGAGAAAATACTCTAACGAATGGCAATAAAGGTAGTGTCAATTGTTTCAGAAGTTCAACTTATCAACTAAACATACTACAATTTCCAACCCTATTCATACCTTTCATATAGCTGCAAGATATAGATGTAGATAAAGAAAATAGCATTAGGCCCACTGATAATGTTCTCTGCTTTCCCCTGGAAATTAGCAAGAAAATTAGCAGACCATAACCAATACCTATGTTCTCCTTCCACAACATAACACTAGCGAAAATGTATTTCATATCTCTTTCCAGATTTGAGACCAAGAAAGGTACAAAACATATTTATATTATTTCTACACGTATATAATATTGTTCCACTAGTTAGGTTACATTACAGAAGCATCCAGAGTTTTTGCAGTATAGGTAATCTTTGATTTACAACCATTCATTCAGTGACCATTTGAAGTTATAACAGCACTGACAAAAGTGACTTATGACTATTTTTCACACATCCCTTGCAGCATTCCCATGGTCACGTGATCAAAATTTGGACGCTTGGCAACTGGCATGTATTTATAACAGTTGCAGTGTCCTGAGGTCATGTGTTCACCAATTGTGACCTTCTGACAAGCGAAGTCAATGGGGAAGCTGGATTCACTTAACAGTGTTACTACTTAACAACTGCATTGAGTCACAACAATTGTGGCAAGAAAGGTTGTAAAATTGGGGCAAAATTCACTTAATAACTGTTTTGCTTAGCAATAGAAATTTTGGGCTGAATTATGATCTAAGTCCAGGACTATCTATAATTGTTCACTGCCTACATATTAGTATTTTCAATAAGAGCAATCAAGTATATTTTATATTGAAAGCTACTATGCTGTTTCCCTGAAAATAAGTCCTCCCCGGATAAGTCCAATCGTGCTTTTGAGTGCATGTGCTAAAATAAGCCCTCCCTGAAAATATTGCAACACAATAGCAGCCACAAGATGACCATGCTCGCCACCTCCTAGCCCTCAAAAATAAGACCTCCCCTGAAATAAGGCCAAGTGCTTATTTCAAGGGTCAAAAGACCCCTGTCTTATTTTTGGGGAAACACAGTATATTTTTTCTGCTATGAGAATTTAGCACCACCTTTCTTTTCCCTCATCCAAAGCAATGATTAATAGCTACAGAAGCAACCACTATTGTATTGCAGTGGTATCTTGGTACTCAACCACTCTGAAACTCATCGAATTTGATACTCAACACATTGTAACATGAAAATATTGTCTCGGTACTCATTGTTTGCTTGGTACTCAAGGCACAACCTAGAACATGTCTATGTCGGCTGCCTTGTGACTCACTACATTATTCCTTATGGGAATAATTGGTTTGGTACTCATCGTGACTTCTATAACCAATTAAGGATAAGTTCCAAGGTACCACTATATTTGAGAATCTTTCTTGTCCATGACCAAACAAGTATATTTTTGTGTGGCTATTATATCTCCAAGCACACTTAATTGCTTTGCAGAAAACTCAGAAACATATTTTTATTCTGCCAGCAAATGATACCTAGCACCAAGTATATAACAAAAAAGTACATTATTTTAAATTATTGTATATAAAATTGTAACATTTGAAGGCGTATGCCCTGCAATTCACATAAAAACTTGCCTCTTTCCAATATATTATTTTGGAATCCAGATGCACAATTCATGGTTGCTACCTATTTCAATTTACCAAGCAACTTTTCTTACTATGGACTCTTATTCTTTCTTACAGCCTTTCCCAGTGGAAGCTTAGTTTAATAACTAAACTCAATAAATAATTGCATACATTTATAACGAGAAAAAAATACCGAAGGGGGGAAAGAAAGAAAAACAATAGAAATAATCTCAGATATACAATCTTCTAGATAGGAAATCTCTAATTTTAGAAAACTGTGAGCCACTATTTTACAATAATGAACTTCTTAGGCAAACAAATTCATTTAAGGGCCATTGGAGACCATAGTGGACATAAGGATATTCATATTAGCAACATGAAACTCTAATATACTAACTAGCCACCCTTGCTAAAATTATTAGCACTTAATACTGAACTGTACTCTATTCACATTGCTAGAGGCAGGAATCTTATTCTCCCCCTTAATTGTCCCATGATAGCTGCTGCAGTTCCTCCTACTAAAAGAAATTAGCAACAGTTACTGTAGAAAAGATACCAATTTGCAAGAATCTGGTTTCAACTTGATCGCAAATCTATTAAATATGCCTTCATCAAATCAGGCTCACAGTTTATTCCACACATTGGCATATAAAAATCATTGACTTTTTTTATAAAATAAAACTTTTATAAAAATGGAAAATAGATTTTAAAAGGTTCAGAAATAGTTCAGAAAAATGATTAGAATTTAAAAGATAATTTCTAATTATATTCTAGGATACTAAAATATGAAAATGAGATCAGTTAACAAAGTGCTCTAAAAGTGTAAAGTCAATTAAAAGAGTATATGATGGAGTACATCTGGAAAAGAGGGAAGGATTTGAATATGACATCAAAGATAAAGTAAAACGAAATGAAGTCTTCAGCATTTGAGGAAAAAGCTTTTATCCACAAATATGTCATCAAAATGTTTAGTATATAATTTTGTCAGAGATAATCTTATGAATTTATCTGAGATTAAAAGAAATCCAAAGAACTGATTATAAGCATAAATGGTTGCAGTATTCCATTAATATAGCAATAGTTTGGGTCTTTAAAAAAAGGCAAAGTACTAAATGTAAATTAGTTTGTAGCAGGTGCCCTGAATAAAACAGGGAAATCTAAATTAATTCTTCCAAAATGTATTTGATGAAATACTTGCTTTTGTTCTAAGACTACTATTAGAGTTGTGGCAGGATCCACATGATTTAAAAACATAAATCAAGCTCCTTTAAAATATAAAACTTGAACTGACAAAGAGAACAAACCTTGAAAATGTCCTCCCAAATAAAAAAAAAATACTTTTTCTAAGCCTGCTTTTTCATCCGAAGAGAACCCCTAGTGTGGATTCTCTCACTTGGACCACTGAAATATGGAATTATCAGGGTCAATATTCCAATGCAGGATTAAAGATTTCTAATGAAATTTTTAAAAGCCACACAACTGGAGTAACCAAATCCCACAGGTACACAAAGAATCTGGAATAATACATTCAAAATATAAACAATTACAGAAATCTCTTATTTTCTTTCCAGAAAAAGCAATAAACCTTGTAGAGGAATCTTTTTATTAACAAAATCTAACTTGTATTTAAAGACACACTCCAAGGAATGATTGTTTAAAAAAAAAGCCTTATCAGGGTTTTGTTAAATATTACCTTTCTTCAGACAACAAAAACATATTTAATACAATTTTTAAGATGGCTGCTGTTTTATACATAATTGCTAAAATATTCAACACTCATCTTTGAATTTGAGCTGATTTAACTCCAAATGGCTTCACTAGTGTTATAAAGTTTGCACTATTCATTATTTATAAAATAATTTTATATGGTATGAATTTACATTATTTTTTTTCTCAAACACCAAAGACACATTTTCACCATAAATGAGAACAAAATCTTCCCAACTAATTAAAATATTGTGGTTTGAATTATCTGAATCTGAATAATTTAATTATTTAAGTGTATTGATTAAATCCTCCCAACTTCCTTTACAAGACTGTTGTTAAATGCTGCTAGATAATGAGCTTAAACAATATGCACGCTCATGAAGATTTGCCACCAAAAGGGGACACATTAGGATTTTTCTAGGATTGGTAAAGCTAATATCAGGAAGGCAAAAGGTTCAAATGAGTTGAGGTTGGTAAAGAATACTAAGAACAATATTGAAGGCTTCCTGAACATATGGTGAAGAACCAAATTACTAAAAGAGACAAATGATCCTCAAAAAAAAAAAAAAAGTGGGGAAAGGAGAAACTATAGACTAATCAATCTGACACTGATGTCTTTTCATAATATTCTTATTCAAATATATATCCCAATTTTCTAGTGACTCAATGAAATATGATGCAACATTGTTCCATTACAATAATGTAAACAGCACCACTTCCACATTATGCCTATTATTTTGCCATCTATAACCTCAGTTTCCCTTTGGCACATAAACAGCTTGACATTTTCAATGTATGTTACACTATTATTAAAAGTGTCATTATTATTTAGTAATCAGTGGACATATAGCAACAAGACATATTAGTTCAAGACAATCAAGTGCTCTTCCAGGTATAGCATACTTCATACTGACTCTTCTTGCTTCAAGCAATATACATAGAACTGACATTACAAGGTGGATTCATGTCTATCATGCTAGCAGAATAGCCAGGATTTTGTTTAGTATGGATTTTAATTTTTAAGAAAAAAAGAGAAAAATCTAGGAAAAACATTATCATTCTGATATTATTTAAATTAGATATTAGATATGTAATTTTACTTTTGAAATAAAATAAATATTGAAGAGGATATTTAAAATATTCTGTATCATTCCAACTTTACTATATGTGCTGCCAAAACAAGCACAGGATATTTAAAATATTCTATGGAGACTTAAACTGGTAAACAAAAATCAAACAGATAATAATCTGCATGCTTTTTCATACTAAAAGTATGATACATTTCATGTACAGGGCGGGGCATAACCTTTTCCTAGGGGGTCACAGCAAGATCGACAGCAGTTTACAACTTCCGCGACACCTCATTTTAAAGCCCATAAAAAACTGAATTGAATGAGCTATTAAATGTTAAATTTGCTTTAAGAATGGCTGGAAAATTCGATTCGGAAGAACAAAGGATCATTGACAGAATAAAATGCATTGCCTTTCGAGAGGCTCGCGATGCTGGAGCGACGTTTATCAATCGAAAATGGATTGCAAACAAATTGAAACGTCATCCGGATTGGGTTACTGATAATTGGAACAAAACAGCCCAAGAATGTTTCACAAAATTTGGAGAAGGGCGTCCTCTGCAACTGTCCCAAGAAAGCAAAGCCATCATTGTAACTGGCAGTCGCAAACAACGAAAAGGAAACCGAAAAGTGGCCCAAGAAATCCTTCAAATTCGTGGAAAACGAGTTGATCAAAGGACAATCGGCCGATATCGAGAACGAGAAGGTTTGAAGCCATTCCACGTCATTTGCAAGCCATTGAAAACTCAAACACACGTTCAAGATCGGCTTTGGTTGTGCGATTGGTTGTCTGAATGGACCGAGGAAGATTTTCTTCATTTGGCGCCATCTGACGAATTCTTCGTTTATGCCATTCGAAAACCGAATTTCCAGAACGATCGAATTTGGGCTAAAGACGTCGACGACATCGCCAAACATGAACGATATCCACAAATCGTTCGCAATCCGACTTGCATCGGGATTTTCGTCATTTTCACAGCCAAGAAACTGCATTGGGTTTTGAAGGATAAAGGGGAATCCTGGGATGGCAGTTATTTCCGTGAGAAAATTTTATTGGAGAATGTCATTCCATTTCTCAGTGATCCAGACAATGTCTTGGTGGTTGGTGAGGCTGTCTTTCTTCATGACAAAGCTCCTTGCATGCGTGCAAATGCGACTCAGCAATTGTTAAAGGAAAACAATGTCGAATTTTGGGGCAATGACGTCTGGCCGGGAAATTCGCCAGATCTCAATCCGGCAGAGAACATTGGGGCCATAATTAAGGATGAAGTGGAAGCTCTGATGATTCAGGAGCAAGGTCAAAATCGATATTCGGTTGAAACTTTGAGAATGAATTTGGAAACTGTGTTGAAAAATCTGGAAAATCGAACAGAACTGTTTGAAGATTTGTTGTGTTCTTATCCACCTCGTTTGAATGCTGTTCGAAGGGCTAATGGTGGTCATACTGACTATTAAATCGTGTCAATAAACTCAGTTTTTGATGGGCTTTCGAATGGTGTATGAATTATTTGTGTTGTTATTACAAGTGTTGCTGTGACCCCCTAGGAAAAGGTTATGCCCCGCCCTGTAGTTAGTTAGAAATATTATTGATGCGTTGATACAGTTTCCTATACGTACTATTTTTTAATTGTGAAGTACAAGGTTTCTAGTTTTTCAAATAAGGCACCACCAATATTGGGATACAAAGTACTAGGTGACCATTCAATCAAACCAAGTTTTAAATGTTGTTGCAAAAGAAGTTTACTGGAACAATGTCCTAAGACTTTGGCTCATATGATTACATAGGTTGCCAGAAGCATTTATGAACGTAAGCCAAGTCCATTAACACTGGATCTTGGCAGTAATTATTACAATGTTCTAAATATGTCCTATGATGGTTCAGTCATACATTTAAGTCATCAAATGATGAATAGACATAGAACTAGTTTAAAATAGTGCTCACCAGGTAATTTAAATGTTCAAAGTCAAGCAACTGTGAACATTTTTGAAATAGTTATATTGTAAATAAATGTAAGCCTCTATCTAGTAATTTTAACAACTTTATACTGCACAATATGATCCTCATTAAAATTGATGCATCAAGAGTATGCTAAGTCAAAATTCTCTTCTTGATAGTTTAATTCTGGGTATATTTTCTTTAAGTTCCTGAGTAAATCATGGGACTCTTCCAGGTATATACTAGACATATGATTGTACTTGCAATAAATTAATTAGTACTCTATTATAAGGTTTAGTCTGAAATAGAACCACATGATGGGAGTATGTATGTATGTATGTAAAACTGAGAAATCAGGAAACTCAAATTTAAATCCCTACTCAGCTATGATGTTCACTTGATGGCTTTGTACCAATCAATTCTCAGTATAATCCAACCTTTCAAAGTTGTTGATGGCAGCATAGCACATTCATATTTTGATCTTTTGGGGAAAGGTATTGTAAAAGTGTACTAAAGGTAGGTACAAGTATATTAATTTTGTATTTTGTTAAATGAAAAACACTGTCTTAAGTTTGATTAGGTGGCCTTACAAATCCAGCAAAATAAATACATTATTAGTTAATTTACATACTAAGAAGTTACCATTTGGAATGGTACTGTTTTTATTTTTATGGAGAGGGGACTGACTATTGATTTTTCTGGATGTTTCCCTTGGGAATTTAAATCTTTTTTTCTGTATGTTTCTGTATGCTAAGTTGCCCAGAGTCATCATAAGTAATTTCAAAAATTAATCAATTGATAGATGTATTTATGCAGTAACTAGAAATCAAGTACAACTTGAGGAGCTTCTTCCTTTTTATACAGTCCAACTAGCCAAAGCATAACTATAATTTCCAAACTGAAGGAAAATTGTAGTTCGCTAACAGAAAAAATAATTTTTGTGTACAATGTCAATTCGCAAACCACTGATCCAAAGCCTTGGGCTGAAAAAACCTAAGATACGAAGTTCCTGTAGATGATGACAAATGTCAGACAGAAAATCAATATGAAGCAGAATAGAGCCTGATGGGTATTAACATAAACTGTAAAATTCTATGCAACATTCACAAGAAAATTGTCCTTTCTCCCCTTCATTCATTACCATATTTAATTAACAAATATATATTAGTTACATAATTACAACTTAGTTAGATTTTTATCCCTCATTTATTAATTTGGAAAGTTTTATTTTTAAACAGAAAAATTCAAAGGCCTTAATCCTAGAGGGCTATATGGAAAAAGACAAATACCAATATAACTAGTGATTTCAAA